AAAAAATTGTCATATATGAAAATTTATATATGTGATCAACTATGTTTGTAAAATCATATAATGTAAGACACCCCAATCATCACTGCTCCAACTCTTAACTGTAAGTCACAATTCTAATTATTTTTTATACTTCTACATTGAAAAAGCATCTAATAGAGTTAATAGAGACTGTTGTCTTCCACAAAACCAATCCTGGAGTGTGTTTTTTTCTGCACATCTTGGAAGTGATCTAACAGGAGTTACTGATAGAAACTTAGCAACATGGGTAAGAGAAAGATATGATAATTCTGGATTTGTTCATGTTAGGAGGAGGTAAATGTAATGACAAATAATGCTTTGCATCACATGCATCACACAAATTACACAAATTAATTAATGTAATTTGAAAATTGATTAATTTAGATGGGGCATTTTCATTTCAATTCAGCAGCTAATGCAGCTAGATTCCTTGCCAATCAATGTCTTGCCTCATTTTGAAGTCCAAGAGGAAGATTGATGAAAGTTGATGTGGCAGGGAGAGGAAAACAGCCACAGCCACAACCACAACCACAACCACAACCACAGCCACCACAACCACCAAAATTACAAAAACAACAAGCACAAGCACCACAACAAACACAGGCACAACCACAACAACCACAATTACAACCACAACAACCACAAGCACCACAGCAAACACAATTACAACAACAACAAGTTCAACAACCACAAGCACCACAGCAAACACAATTACAACAACAAGCACAACAACAACAAGCATAATAACAACAACAACAACAACAACAAGCACAATTACTACAACTACCAACACAATCTTCATCATCATCATCATCATCATCACAATGGCAACAATATAGTTATGCTCCTCCTCATCCTCCTCACCATAATAATAATAATGATGATGATGGTAATAGAAAAAGAAAAAATAAAGAAATATCAACAACAACATCAACAATATATCCAATATCCAGTAAGGTGGTGACTACTAAGTAATTATTATAAGTTTTATTAAATTCTTGAATATATTTTTACCAATGATTTTTATTTTTGTCTAACATTATCTTTACCTCTTTATATTTATAAAGTGCCCATACTTATATAACACTGTTTATCCCAACAATAACAGTGAAAGATGAGATTACTCTTTATTATGTTGGAGGAGGTGACCTTGAAGTAACAGCACAAATAAAAGAAATAAAAACAAGTGGTGATGGTGGTTATGCTATAGGTAATTTGCCAGTTGGGCAAATATCTATAATAATTGAACTTACCAAAGTAAAGGTTTTTAAATTTTAAATATATTTATTTAAATAACAATATAATTTTATGTAAGGCTGATGTTGAAGTTTGAGAAGGTGGTGTGATGATAATTAAATTTAAAATAAATAGAAATTATAGAAATTAAATAATTTATGTATTATTTTTATTATTTTTTATTAAATAACCAGAGTACACGTAGCAAATAATAGATCAATAATCACCACCACAGTTGTATGAAATATATTTATTTGGATTAAATTTTTAATGCTAGGATTTTTATTATTAAAAATAGAAAATGGCCTTTCTACAACCAAAAAAGGCTAATGTTATTAACATATAAATATGGGTTCCATGCTAACAAAAAGATAGTTCAGGCTCAAGAACCCCAAAATGAGTTGTTGGCATCACTATATACTTTGAAATAAGGATTATAATTTGGTATAATTTTTATTGACATTCAATTAGTAAAAAAGTGTGTAATTAATCCATAAAGTTTTATTGAATACTGACCCGGCATGATGGAAGTTTGATTTCATTGGCTAAATTTTGTGATGATCTCCCTTCCAGACATCACACAAAAATTAAATTTTATTGGTTCAATGATCATTGCTGAAACTAGATTTTTCAGGACCTCAAAATATAAAATTGTAAGTTTTATCTTGCTTAATAATTATATTTATCTCAATGAAAAAAGTTACTAAAATATTACTACCATCATATTGATTATTTTCATTTCCAGGAAAAAGAATTTTCTCTTGTTCATGCTCAGTATATTGTTCCTTGAAGATTGTACAATTTTTTAAGTGAGAAGTTACCAATTTTTTAGTATTTGTTAATTTAGT